ATCTCATGAATGTGTGCAGCACTTGGGATTTCTTGTCAGTTCTTTTCTGGACTACCATTCCCAGCATAGCTGGCTGGGGAATTATGGGAGGGACAGTACAAAAAAGGCATGTTTCCCATGCTTTGGAAGTTCTAGCCTGCAGCTTTTGGGGAAAAGAGACTTGTCTGTGTCAGTGGCATCAAATAGCTTGTTGATTTATGGGGATCTCAAATTTATAGGCCTTTTTTTGGCAAGGAATCCTCACAGATGGTCTTGTCAGTTTCTTCGGTCATTCCAGTTTCCAGATGCATGATACAAATATTTTGCTGTATTATTTTGGCACAATTTTACTATGCCGTTGTATATCATGAGACTTGAGCATGAACAGATTTGGGGGTCCATGGGAGTTTTGACCAAACCTCAGTGGCTATCAGAGGTCCATTATATTGCATGGAGCATCGTCTCAAAAGCCTTTCATGATCACATGTCCAATTAACAGTCCTAATCCCACCCTCCCAATCCCTGAATGGCTTGCACTAAATCTGTCCTTTATTTATTTATTTATTTATTTAGGTTGCTTCTACCCCGCCCTTCTCACCCGGGGGGGGGGGGGGGGGGGGGGGGAGGGGCTCAGGGCAGCTTACAAAAGCAAGGCACAATTCGATGCCCGCATCACATAACAGCAAAAGACAATAACATCAGTTAACAGTTAACAATTCTAACAATAATAACAATTAACAGGAAACAATAATTATTATAGGCAAAAACAACCATAAAACTAATAAACAATAAAAGCAATAAAATCAATACCTCATTAGCGGTCAGCGTTTCACAATCTCATAGTTTAAATTCCAATTCCACAATTGTCAGTCCTTTAAGTCCTATCCATCTGGTTTCCATATCTAGTTGTCAGGTTGCCCAAAGGCCTGGTCCCACAACCACGTCTTTACCTTCCTCCTGAAGGTGAGGAGGGATGTTGATGCCCTGATTTCCCCCGGGAGTGAGTTCCACAGGTGAGGGGCCACCACTGAGAAGGCCCTGCTCCTCGTCCCCACCAGCCTCACTTGTGATAGTGGTGGAGTCGAGAGCAAGGCCTCCCCAGATGATCTCAAATTCCGGGGTGGGACGTAGAGGGAGATACGTTCGGACAGATACACTGGTCCGGAACCGTAAAGGGTTTTGTAGGTCAAAACCAGCACCTTGAATTGTGCTCGGAATTGAATCGGCAGCCAGTGGAGCTGACACAACAAGGGGGTGATGTGCTCCCTGTATGTCGCTCCGGTGAGCAATCTGGCTGCCGCTCGCTGGACCAGCTGAAGTTTCCGAACAGTCTTCAAGGGCAACCCCACGTAGAGTGCGTTGCAGTAGTCTATGCAGGATGTAACAAGAGCTTCCTTTGCTACATAAGCCACTTCCTGAATGTTGTGAGCTGTTGGAAATCAGCCTGTGTTTGTGTTTCAGGGTCCTGATGTGGGAAATGATGGTGCTGAGGTTGCCAAGGCTGTGGTAAAAGATGGAGATGGTTTGGTCAATGATTTTCATACAGACAATGACAGAGAGGCCCCAGTGCAAAGGGCAGTTTCTCATGAGAATATCCCTGGGCCTAGCAATGATAATTCACTCCCTCTCTCTGCGAGCTCTCAAGATTTGGGTTTGAAAAACAATTTGACACGTGGGAATTATGAGCAGCCAGATAGGGAGCTGGAGAATAGGCAGTTGGAGATCAGCCAGGATCAACAACAAATTTAGTATTTACGTCGTTTCGAAAGGCTTCGTCTGATAAAGGAAAAATGTGGGGGAAACGAAACCAATTTCTGAGTTTTGGGATATAAAGTTTGCTTCAAGGGAAAACCTGTTAGATCAGGCATAGTTTGGAAACCAAGTTCATGTGCCATGGAAGTCTTGTTCAAGGGGTCTTGTTTCTGTGGAGTTTTTTTAGCCTTTTGGATTGTCTTTGCATCTTGTTTGATTGCTGTCTGGATTAATGCTGTCTTAGATTGCTTTTATTTCTTGTGTGGACATTGCTTTGTGTTATGGACTAATTACTTTTTGAAACCTTCTGATTTTCTTACAAGCATTTATTTCTTCTGGCTATTTACTAAGCTTCAACAAAAGAAGATTTGTTTCTTCACTCTTCGTATGGTGTGTTTAAAGTTAGAGGGCTTCTTCTTGACCTGGAGTGCAACACAAGCATTGAGAAGGTGCAAATATTGCATGGAGCTATGGCTGCTAAAGTGGTGTCAAACAGTATTAATTCTATAGTGTAGACTCACCCATGAACTTCATGCAGTGGAAAGATACGAAGAAATGGCTTTGACTCATTCCAGCGATGTATACAATTGTTTCTCAGAGGGACGTTCCCAAAATAGGACTCTTATCTAACTAAATTACACCATCCACAAAATAGACTCAATACGCAGAGAGAAAAGATGATAGGTAAATTCTTTATTTAAGGTTTGCCTTTACCTTCCTGGATTTTTACAACAGCGTTTTTTGCTAAAAGAAATTTACTTTTCAAGAAATATCACAAAGATCTCATTTTTTCTTCCAAAACTTTCTATAATCATCCAACTTAAAGTCGTCATCAAAAGTCGCCTCCTCTTTGGGTTTAAGCTTGACGCCATCCCGTTTCCGCAACCGGGCTCTCCTTTCGGCTTCGGGGAGAGTATTGATGTCGATTGGTATCTAATGAAGGAAAGGCAATAACAATAACAACAACTAAACATTACATTTAATAAACGTGTGTACGATTGCCAGTACACAAGAAAGGAATCAATATTCTTTGGCAAAGAAGGCTAAAGGCCTTCTCAAGTTGTAACTCTCACGATTCCATAGCATTAAGTTATCGCAGTTAAAGCAGCACCAAACTGCATTATTTCTGCAGTGTAGATGCACCCACAGCAATACAGCAAGGCTATATAAAAGGGAGGGGGTAGGGGACAGTTCCATCTTGTCTCCTGCATATGTCATCAGTTGGGGACCCCTCCCCTCAGGACCAATAATCGCTCTGGGTGAGAGTGAAGAGAGAGGGGGCCAGAAGACAGTTCCACCTTGTCTCCTGTGCTATGCTAATAATATAATATAATATAATATAATATAATATAATATAATATAATATAATATAATATAATATATTGTATATACATATAGCATTTATAATATCATAATGTAATACAATATAATACTACGAATAATATGATAGTCCAACGCTCGGCAGCCATGATTTTAACAGGAGCGGAGCGCAGGGAGCATACAACCCCCCTGTTGCGCCAACTCCACTGGCTACCGATCTGCTACCGGGCTGAATTCAAAGTGCTGGCGTTGGCCTTTAAAGCCCTAAACGGTTCCGGCCCAAGCTACCTATCTGACCGCATCTCTGCCTATGAACCCACCAGGACTTTGAGATCTTCCGGGGAGACCCTGCTCTCGATCCCGCCTGCTTCTCAAGCTCGGCTGGCGGGGACGAGAGATAGGGCCTTCTCGGTGGTGGCTCCTCGGCTGTGGAACGCCCTTCCTACGGACATTAGACTAGCACCATCTCTAATGGTATTCCGCAAAAAGGTGAAGACCTGGATGTTTGTGCAGGCGTTTGAGTAATTTAGTGCAATCTGGTAATGGAACATAGGAATGGAACAAGGGACGACGAACCTGGACTACGCTTGGGTGATGAGAAGATTGGGTACGGTTGTTTTTTGTAATAATTGTGCATTGTAACTGCTTATTGGTAATTTATGGATAATGTGTTAAGTCAATTGTTATATGTTGTATGGAACCACTGCTGTTTCTACTGTTTTTACTGTTTGTGAACCGCCGTGAGTCGCCTTCGGGCTTGAGATACAGCGGTATATAAGCAAAGTAAATAAATAAATAAATAATATAGTGTATATAATATATATTTTATATTACATGTAATATTACTAATAATATTACAATATAATGGGATAGTACGATATCTATCTATCTATAAAAATGCTCTGTTCGTTTTGAGTGACACCATAACTCAAAATACGCTGGACGAATTGCCCCCAAATTTGGCCACAAGACACTTACCAACCCAAGGAGTGACCATCACTCAAAAAAACTGATTTTGTCATTTGGGAGTTGTAGTTGCTGGGATCAACTACAATCAAAGAGTATTCTGAACTCCAACAATGATGGAATTGAACCAAGCTTGGGACACAAGATTCCCATGACCAACAGAAAAGACTAAAAGGGTTTGGTGGGCCTTGACCTTGGGTTTTGGAGTTGTAGTTTATCTACATCCACTGTGGACTCAAACAATTATGGATATGGACCAAACTTGGCACGAATATTCCATATGCCCAACTAGGAATGCAGAGGGAGCTTGGGGGAAATAGATCTTGACATTTGGGAGTTGTAGTTACTGGGATTTATAGTTCACTTACACTCAGAGAGCATTCTGAACCACATGAACGATAGAATTGGGGCAAACTTCCCACATAGAACCCCTATGACCAATAGAAAATACTTAAGGCAATCCAGTCCAACTCCCTTCACCAGGGCAAGAAACAGTAATCAAATATTATTTACCCACAAGCATAAAGAAATTACATATATTAGAAACCAACACTTTCTCATTATTTTATTTTCCAGATCACTTGACTGGGCCACAGCAACACGTGGCAGGGGATGGCTAGTATCTATCTATCAATCAATCAATCAATCAATCAATCAATCAATGCTCTGTTCATTTTGAGTGACACAACAACTCAAAATCCGCTGGATGAATTGCCCCCAAATTTGGCCACAAGACTCTTACCAACCAGCGGAGTGACCATCACTCAAAATATTGATTTTGTCATTTGATATTGATATTGTACTATGCTAATAATATAATATATTGTATGTATGTTGTAAGCCGCTCTGAGTCCCTTTGGGGTGAGAAGGGCGGCATATAAATGTCGTAAACAAACAAACAAATAAATAAGCTCTATCTGGACAAATTCAGCGCTCACCGATAGGATCCGCCTGGGTTCTTTGTACCGGATGTGGATGGTGGAGCCGTCAGGTCTGACCAGCAGAACCGGATACATCCGGCCGTACTTCTGCCTTGAAACGCAAGCGATGGATGTCCGGTTGGAGTTGGGTTGGCACGCGGATGTGTGAAGACGGCAAGGCCTGGGAAGGAATGCCCAGAGGGCCTCTCCTTGCAAGAGCCTGGAACCAATTTAAGCAGAATGGAAAGCATCTCTCAATTCAGTGCAAAAGCTGATGCATACTAGCACTCAGTATGGGTCAATAACGCCAGTGTGGTGCAGCCGCCTGAACATTAGCATGAATGCAGTTTGAACCCACTCTAACTGACTTGACTCAATGCTATGGACTAATGAGAGTTGCAGTTTCATAAGGTCTTTAACCTTCTGTCAACAAATACTAGTGCTTCAGTAGACGATAACTTCCATTGGGTTGCTCTAAGTTTTACGGGCTGTATGGCCATTTCCAGAAGCATTCTCTCCTGACATTTTGCATCTATGGCAGGCAACCTCAGAAGCATTCTCTCCTGACGTTTCACATCTATGGCAGGCAACCTCAGAGGTTGTGAAGTCTGTTGGAAACTAGGTGAGGTTTATATATCTGTGGAATGTCCAGGGTGGGAGAAAGAACTCTTGAATGTTGGAGGCAAGTCTGGATGTTGCAATTGGCCACCTTAATTAGCACGGAATGGTCTTGTGGAGTCCACGACATGCGAGTGCGGAGAAGAGCAAACCACTGACCACCTGCTGCAATGCAACCTGAGCCCTGCCACATGCACAATGGAGGACCTTCTTGCGGCAACACCAGAGGCACTCCAAGTGGCCAGATACTGGTCAAAGGACATTTAACCAACTACAAGTTTGCAAAATCTGTGTGTTTTTTTCTTTTTCTTTTTAATCTGTGTGTTTGTTTTGTTCTGTTAGAATTGTAACACAATGGTATGGTTGCTGATGACACGATAAATAAATAGCCTGGCTGCTTACATCCTGGGGGAATCCTTTGTTGGGAAGTGCTAACTGGCCCTGATTGTTTCCTGGCTAGAATTCCCTGGTTTTTTTTATGGTTGTCCTTTGTTTACTGTTATAATTTTAGAGTTTTTTAAATACTGGTAGCCAGATTTTGTTCATTTTCATAGTTTCTTCCTTTCTGTTGAAAGTGTCCACATGCTGCTTGTGGATTTCAATGGCTTCTCTGTGTAGTCTGACATGGTGGTTGTGAGAGTGGTCCAGCATTTCTGTCTTCTCCCATAATATTCTGTGCCCAGGTTAGTTCATCAGGTGCTCTGCTATGATGCACTTATCTTTTTGATAAATGCGCCACAGGGCCATCTCTGTAGTGGCCCCTCGGCTCTGGAATTCACCCCCAGAGATATTAGGCAAGCCCCCACCCTGGCAGTCTTTAGAACTCTTGTCTGTTGGAGCTAGGTGTGAATGTTTCAAATGACCACCTTGATTAGCATTTGATGGCCTGGCAGTGCCCAAGGACAAGAGGGATCCTCTCACTTCTGATGGAGTCTACCGTGTACCATGCAGCTGTGGACAAGTCTACATAGGGACCACCAAACGCAGCATTGCACAAACACAATCAAGGAACATGAAAGGCACTGCAGACTACTTCAACCAGAGAAGTCAGCCATAGCAGAGCACCTGATGAACCAACCTGGACACAGCATATTATTTGAGAACACAGAAATGCTGGACCACTCTCACAACCACCATGTCAGACTACACAGAGAAGCCATTGAAATCCACAAGCATGTGGACAATTTCAACAGAAAGGGGAAACCATGAAAATGAACAAAATCTGGCTACCAGTATTAAAAACTCTAAAATTACAACAGCACAACAACAGAGAGGAAACAAACAAGGACATCTAATCACCTCTCAACAAAAGATTGCTCCAGGCACTGCCAGGCCATCAAATGCTAATCAAGGTGGTCAGTTGAAACATTCACACCTAGCTCCAGCAGACAAGAGTCCTTTGTCCCACCCTGGTCATTCCACAGATATATAAACCCATTTTCCTAGTTCCAACAGACCTCACTACCTCTGAGGATGTTTGCCATAGATGCAGGCGAAACGTCAGGAGAGAATGCCTCTAGAACATGGCCATATAGCCCAAAAATACCTACAACAACCCAACTCTTATACTATCAAATCAGGTATTTGTACCTTTAAAGATGGATATAGATCAGGCATGGGCAAACTTTAGCCTGCCCTCCAGGTGTTTTGGACTTCTACTCCCACAATTCCTAACAGCCTGTTAGGAAATATGGGAATTGAAGTCCAAAATACCTGGAGGGAGGGTCGAAGTCTGTCCAGGCCTGTTGTGTACTCTGTGTAAAGTGACTTTCAGACTATGTATATAAGGTGTACAAGAAACATAAAGGAATGCCATGTTTAGACTTGGGTCCCATCTCCAAAATGATTGCACAATGTGCATATATGGGTGTTCCAGAATCAATATCCTATAGTATTACGTACCTGAGAGTCCTCCTGATGGTTGTCATCATGCTGAGGATGGTCCAGAACTTATTATAACTAACCTCAGGCTAACAATGATTTATAAGATACGGGTTTTTGGATGGGAGAAAGCTGTGCTTATCGGGCATGATCCAAGGGCCACATCTGCTGGAAGGAAAACAAAATAAAATCATTATATTGTCAAAGGCTTTCATGGTTGGAATCAATGGGTTGTTGTAGGTTTTTATGGCTATATGGCCATGTTCTAGAGGCATTTTCTCCTGACGTTTCGCCTGCATCTATGGCAAGCATCCTCAGAGGTTTTGAGGAGTTCTAAGACAAATTGAAGTTGTAAAACTATTTCCCCAATACTGTTCAGAATGGCCATAAATTGATTTTTGGAAATTATATTAAATTGACCTTCAATGTTATATTACACACTTTTAGGTATAAATTTGTGCATATTGTGCAACACTGACACTGAAATACAACATTGTCTGAGCTCTGTGAGTGCAGCATTTTTCCAAATGAAGCAGAGAGTGTTTGAGGACCAGGACATCCGTAGGGAGACCAAGGTGCTTGTCTATAAATCTATTGCCCTCCCAACCCTGCTATATGCCTGCGAAACGTGGACTGTCTACAGGCGTCACAGTCAACTCCTGGAACGATTCCATCAGCGTTGCCTCTGGAAAATCCTGCAAATCTCTTGGGAAGACAGACAGACAAATGTCAGCGTGCTGGAAGAAGCAAAGACCACCAGCATTGAAGCAATGGCCCTCCTCCATCAACTCCACTGGACTAGCCACATTGTCCGAATGCCCGATCACCGTCTTCCAAAGCAGTTACTATACTCCAAACTTAAGAACAGGAAATGTAATGTTGGTGGACAGGAAAAGAGATTGAAAGTTGGGCTAAAAGCCAACTTCAAAAACTGTGGCATAGACACCAAGAACTAGGAAGCTCTAACTGGAGGTCAGCTGTGAGAGCTCTAACTGGAGGTCAGCTGTGACCAGCAGTGCTGCAGAATTCAAAGGGATACGAATGGAGGGCAGAAGGGAGAAACGCACCAACAGGAAGATGCATCAAGCCAACCCTGACCAGTCTGGAAAGCGATGTCCACACTGTGGGAGAACATGTGGATTGAGAATAGGGCTCCATAGCCACCCGCAGACCCACCACCAAGACTCTACATCTGGAGGACCATCATCCTCGATCTATGAGGGATCACTTAAGTAAGTAAGTGCGCATAACTGTTAATAATTTATTCAAATATATTGCATTTTAATTCATTTCAATAATAAATACATGTTAGTTGTCTCTATAGCCCCTGGAAATTAGTCAGCCTTCGTTGTTATATCACACACTTTTGTTGTTATATTACACACTTTTGGGTATAATTATTCATAAGTGTTGTAATTTATTCAAAAATATTACAATTTAATCCAACTCATTTAAATAAGTACTTATTAGTTGCCTCTGTATTATATTAAATCATCCTTATTTATTTATTTACGACATTTATATGCTGCCCTTCTCACCCCAAAGGAGACTCAAATCATATTACACACTTCTAGGTATAATTTATGCATAAATGTTGTAATTTATTCAAAAAATATTGCAATTTAATCTAATTCATTTAAATAATAAATATTTATAATTAAATAAATATCTATTACTTACCTCTGTAGCGCTTGGAAATTATATTAAATCATCCTTCATTGTTATATTACACACTTTTAGGTATAATGTATGCATAAGTGTGGTAATTTATTCAAAACTATTACAATTTAATCCAACTCATTTAAATAAGAAATACTTATAAACAAATAAATACTTATTCTTTGCCTCTGTAGTCCTTAGAAATTATATTAAATCATCATCTATATTTCACACTTTTTCTATAATGTATGCATAATTGTAATTTATTCAAAAATATTACAATTTAATCCAGTTCATTTAAATAATTTATTCCAGTTATTCCACTCCCCCCATTCAGATACTTAATGGTTTGGTCCAAATGAATATTGCTTTCCTTTCCTGCTTCCCCCTATTTCCTTCTGCAAATGGTTTGTCCCCATTCAGCTCTTCAATGGTTTAGTCCATAGCGCCCTCCCCCGTTTCTTTCTGCAAATGGTTTGTCCCCATTCAGCTCTTCAATGGTTTAATCCATCGGAATAATGCTTTTCCCTTCCCGCCTCCCCCCGTTTCTTTCTGCAAATGGTTTGTCCTCATTCAGCCTTTCAATGGTTTAGTCCATAGTCTTCCCCCATTTCCTTCTGCAAATGGTTCGCTCCTTATTCTTCTACTCACGCTTCTCTTTCCTCCGCAATGCTGTGGCGTAATGGTTTGACCCGCTCCCCCCTACAAATGTCCCAAATGGTTTGATCCTCGCTTGGGCCTTGAGAAAAAGAAGCCTCGCTCACGTGACTCGTCGTGACCAATGAGAGTCCTCCTTCTCGTGACCAATGAGAGTCCGCCTTCTCGTAGCCCCGCCCACAACTCCTCCTTTTCTCCTTTGGGAAGGGCATTTCGTAACGTCATCACTCCGCGACGAGAGAGAGGGAAAAGAACGGCGCGGCGATGACGTCAACAAAGCCCCGGTCTGAGGGGCGGGGCTTTCTTAGCGGCGCCCCTCAAATCCCGTTCCGTCCCGCCGCGCTGCCATTCCGGGAAGCTTCTCTCCCCGGCTGCTTCCTTCCATGCGCTGGCGACGCTTTCTGTGCCGAGCGTTCTCAGGTAAGTGATTGAGTGCACTCATTTCCGGTCCCCCGTTAGGCCAGAGGTGTTTCACTGAAAGGCGCCCCCCTCTGCAACCTCACCCCTCCACTTTGGTTCCGCCTTGCAGTCCTATTCTACGCTTGCCTGCCATTAATTCTCTCCCACTCCAAAGGTTCCTATCCAAGAAGGTGTCAATTTAAAAATACCCATTCCTCTCTGTTTTGTTTCCTTATAGTCATCTTACCCTTTGGCTTTGGCTCTTCTGCCAATATCTCAAAGGAAAGATAGTATTGGAAAAAAGAGACCCCGAAGGTCATCTAGTCCGACCCCTTGCTCAGTGCAAGATCTGCAGCCAAAGTAGATGCAGTTTCAAAATACTAATTTGCAAGAAATACCTAACAGTGGGAGACGGGTGCATATATTGCTTAATTAATAAATAATAATACTAATGTAATAATACTAATATATGTTATATAATATTAATTATATATATTATATCTACTACAACTTATGATGTAATGCAATATATTATATAATACTAGTAGGATCATATACTGGTAATGTATTATATAGATTGTGGTAAAACTGGGAAATAGAGGGAGAAAATGTGGACAGATTTTGTATTTCTAGGCGCAAAGATGACTGCAGATGCAGACTGTAGCCAGGAAATCAGGAGACGCTTCCTTCTTGGGAGGAGAGCAATGTCCAATCTCAATAAAATAGTAAAGAGTAGAGACCTCAGACTGGCAACAAAGATCCATTGCCTAGTCAAAGCCATGGTATTCCCTGTAGTCACCTACGGATGTGAGAGCTGGACCTTCGGGAAGGCTGAGCGAAGGAAGAGAGATGCTTTTGAGCTGTGGTGCTGGAGGAAAGTGCTGAGAGTGCCTTGGACTGCGAGAAGATCCAACCAGTCCATCCTCCAGGAAATAAAGCCCGACTGCTCACTGGAGGGAAGGAGACTAGAGACAAAGTTGAAGTCCTTTGGCCACATCATGAGGAGACAGCAAAGCCTAGAGAAGACAATTATGCTGGGGAAAGTGGAAGGCAAAAGGAAGAGGGGCCGACCAAGGGCAAGATGGATGGATGGCATCCTTGAATGACTGGACTGACCTTGAAGGAGCTGGGGGTGGTGACGGCCGACAGGGAGCTCTGGCGTGGGCTGGTCCATGAGGTCACGAAGAGTCGGAGACGACTGAACGAATGAACAACAACAAAACATAGTACAGTATAAATATAAATATAAATAGTTATTTATAAATAACTAGCCATTCCCTGCCACACGTTGCTATGGCCCAGTCTGGTGATCTGGAAAAGTAATGAGAAAGTGCTGGTTTCTAATCTATGTAATGTCTTTCTGCTTGTGGGTAAACAGTATTTCTTGCTGTTTCTTTGCCAGTGTTGATGTGGAGATTGTCAGGTTTGCCTACTCTGGAACAAGCAACATATAATTGTCCTTCTTTAGGGGTCCCTTTCAAATCTAGGATACTATATTTGTGTGTGTGTGAATCATATCTATCTATATCTATGGCTGGATGGCCCTTTGTCAGGAGGGCTTTGATTACATTTTATTGTCCTGGTGAAGGGAGTTGGACTGGATGACCTTAAGTATTTTCTGTTGGTCATGGGGGTTCTGTGTGGGAGGTTTGCTCCAATTCTGTCGTTGGTGGGGTTCAGAATGCTCTTTGATTGTAGCTATAAATCCCAGTAACTAAAACTTCCAAATATCAAGATCTATTTTCCCCAAACTCCATCTGTGTTCATATTTGGGCATATGGAATATTTGTGCCAAGTTTGGTCCAGATCCATCATTGTTTTGAGTCCACAGCTCTCTGGATGTAGGTGAACTACAACTCCCAAACTCAAGGTCTATGCCCACCAAACCCTTCTAGTGTTTTCTGTTGGTCAGGGGAGTCCTGTGTGCTAAGTTCGGTTCAATTCCATCGTTGGTGGGTTTCAGAATGCTGTTTTATTATTGTGGGTTTGTGTGTATATTTCATTATATATTACCAGTAGTATTATGTTTAATATATATATTACCGTATTGTTATATATTATATTGTATTATTAGTATGATATGGTATTATATATTTCTAATATTGTAATGTAACGGTTTGGGACCATCCTACCTGCGTGACCGCATCTCCGTTTATGAACCCACACGCTCACTTCGTTCATCCGGTGAAGCCCTGCTCGCGATTCCGCCTGCGTTGCAGGCGCGTCTGGTGGGGACGCGAGACAGGGCCTTTTCTGTGGTGGCCCCCTGACTCTGGAACACCCTCCCCAAAGATCTTAGACAGACCCCTACATTGGCAATCTTCAGAAGGAACTTGAAGACCTGGCTGTTCCAATGTGCCTTTCCAGAATAGGAAAACTCCAACAACAAGTCCCAGAAGCACTTCATTAGAAATTAAGATTGCTGGCACACTGCACTACCCTATAATCCTTACACACCACCTGTCACGTCAGCACTTTTAACCTGTACCCATTATTCTGGCCCGGCCCAGTTTTATTGCGTCTTGGTGTATTGTTTTATTGCTTGTGTTTAATATTGCTTTAACTGTTTTAATTTGCTTTAGGTTGTGTATTGTTATGTTGTGTTTTGAAGCCTTGGCCTTTGTAAGCCGCATCGAGTCCTTCGGGAGATGCTAGCGGGGTACAAATAAAGATAATAATAATAATAATGTAATACCATATAATACTAATAATAAATCCGCAATAATAAAACAGTATATTTCATTATATATTGTTGTACTATTTTTGATTGTGAGCCGCTTTGAATCTCCGTATGTAGAAATAAAGCGGGATATAAATAAATAAATACAAATACAAAATTAAATCAATGCTGAGGAATCATGGAAGTTGGAGTGTCACAAGGTCTTTAGCCTCTTTTTTGCCGTTGATTCCATAACATTGAGCCATAGCAGTTAAAGTGGGGTCAAACTGCATTAATTCTACAGTGTAGATAAAGCACCTTGAATTCAAGGTGTATTATGAATTAAGATATTGAAATAAAGAGTATATTATTATTATTATTATTATTATTATTATTATTATTTTAATACCCCGCTTTCTCTCTCCAAAGGGGACTCAAAGCGGCTTGAAATAAAAACATTTGTGTACAATTTAAAATATATATATTTTTAAATGCAAACATTAAAATAGAATTAAAGACAAACAGCACTAAAAATTCACAGTTAAAACCAATCAAACAGTTTAAAACCATCTATATTTACATCTATATAAAATTAATGCAATTTAACACTATTTTAACTGTCCTGCGCTTGTCTCTATTACTGTCCGTGTTTAATCTCTGTTTTGTGTATTTCAATATGTATTTCTTTAGACACGTTCTAGTTTGTGCAGAATCGGACAGAGGGTTATTGGGTTGTTGTGGGTTTTTTCGGGCTATATGGCCATGTTCTAGAGGCATTTTCTCCTGACGTTTCGCCTGCATCTATGGCAAGCATCCTCTATTCCAGGTGACGTCTGGCCAAACCTTAAACGAGTGGGAGTGTGACTTCCCTTGATCTGGACCAAGCATGGGGAAACTTGGGCCCTCCAGGTGTTTTGGACTTCAATTCCCAACCAGTAGGCTGTTAGGAATTGTGGGAGTTGGAGTCCAAAACACCTGGAGAGTCCAAGTTTTACCCATGCCTGATTTAAATGCTTTGAGGATGCTTAACAGAGCGGGGGCGGTGAAAATGAGATTGCTTAAAGGGCGTGCTTGCTTTGCGGTTGCTGTTTTGCAAGATTAGTATGCACTCTTAGCAACCACCTGTCACAATGAACTATATACCCTGAGGATAAATAATAATGATAATAAAAAAAGAGAAAGCAGCGGCACCAAATCTTTCCACCGCTTGTCATTTCGAAGCTAGTTGTATAGCTTAAATGAATTTGTCTTTGGAACACATGAATCTTCAAATCCTCAGTTTCAAGAATCTGTACAGCGTTTAAAAGACTCAAATAACAATGTCAGATTTAACTGCTGGAGTATCTTATGTGTGGTGCCAGTGATTATAACTCATGCGTTGTCTCGTGTTTTGAGCAGGGTGACTTCTATTTTCATATAATTCCTCATTGAGCATTGTACGAAGACAACCGAAGCAGGAAAGACTCAATTACTGCTGGCTTCCATGGGGAAATTCACGTGCCGAGCTCTTGTAGTAACTAGTTCTATTGATTATAAGCATGGGCAGGCTCTGGAAAGTGGAATTAATTGCTTCCTCGAGCCTTGGCTGCATGCCATCAGGAGGCACTTCAAGCCGCGGCATCTTGTCTTCAATTTTATATGAGTTTGAAAGTTGCTCTTGAACGAGCCCCTTTTCATTTGAATTGTAAAACTACAACAGTGTTTCTCAACCCTCTTAATGCTGTGACCCCTTGATACAGTTCCTCATGTTGTGCTGACCCTCAACCATAACATTATTTTCATTGCTTCTTCATTGTCATGTAAATATCTGATGTTGTTGTTCATTCGTTCAGTCGTCTCCGACTCTTCGTGACCTCATGGACCAGCCCACGCCAGAGCTCCCTGTCGGCTGTCACCACCCCCAGCTCCTTCAAGGTCAGTCCAGTCACTTCAAGGATGCCATCCATCCATCTTGCCCTTGGTCGGCCCCTCTTCCTTTTACCTTCCAATTTTCCCCAGCATCATTGTCTTCTCTAGGCTTTGCTCTCCTCATGATGTGGCCAAAGTACTTCAACTTTGTCTCTAGTATCCTTCCCTCCAGTGAGCAGTCGGGCTTTATTTCCTGGAGGATGGACTGGTTGGATCTTCTCGCAGTCCAAGGCACTCTCAGAACTTTCCTCCAACACCACAGCTCAAAAGCATCGATCTTCCTTCGCTCAGTCTTCCCTAAGGTCCAGCTCTCACATCCGTAGGTGACTACAGGGAATACCATGGCTTTGACTAGGCAATGGATCTTTGTTGCCAGTCTGATGTCTCTACTCTTCAGTATTTTATTGAGATTGGCCATTGCTGTCCTCCCAAGAAGTAAGCGTCTTCTGATTTC